TATATATATATATATATGGGCTTACTTTACGGGTATAGAACCATTTCTTACCAGTAGTAGCCCCCATCCTGTAGGCATAAATGCAAGAATGCAGACGATAACATCAACGAATGTCATGTGAAGAAGAGCTATTAGGGTGATCAAAACAAGCTACAAATGAAAGAAAAAGAAGGCCCTCGATCAATCGGAACACGAGTTGGAAATCAGCACTAAACCGTCTCCTTCCAACAGAAACAACCTGCAAAAAATTTTGGCATACTTCATTTACATTGGACAAAAGGAAATCGGATTTTCTTTAATAGTTCAAGTACTCTTGAAGGATTTTAGCATATAGAACATCTTCAAATGCACTGCAAAATTTCACCCTACTGCAAACAGATTTAAATGTCTGAGTTAAGGCAAGAAAAAAAAAAGAACTAACTACAAAATCAGTGATTTCATGAAAACCAGATGCTTCTCATTTTGTTTTGAGGGACGCTGTGGTTTTCATTGGAATTCTGAATGTTAAAAATATAGTTGGCCAATGTGTTCGGCTGAACCCGTCATTTTGAATATTATTTGTGTTGCCAAACATTGCAGTGACTTTCATGGTCCCTGGGCTCAGAGACTCCAAGGTACGCGCGCATACAGAGAGAGAACATGAGAGATAAATAGAGAAGCTCAATAAGAATAATTTACTAGTCCCAGACCTTCAAAATTAGCAGGACTGCAAAGATGAATAACCACGATAGACCATACACCTGCACAAGAAGCAACATTTTAGTAATTTTCATAACCAAGCTCGAAAGAAAAAACTCAAAAAAAATAATAATTAAAACAAAAAAATCCATACCAAGAAGCTCTTGTCAGAAGTGAAGCTGAGGTGATATGTCAACCCAAACTGATATATAAAAAAACGGAACGACAGCAGTATCTCAAAAATGATCCCGCGGGTCCCGGAATGCGACAGATGCTCGTGCTCCTTCTCCCACCACGACTCCCAGCTCTTCTCGGGCGGCACTCCGATCCCACCCCGGTTGTTCATCCACTTGTTCCAGTCCGTCCAATCATCCACAATCTTCTGCCACTCAAAACCCGACGGGTTGAACAGGAATGGTGCAAAAAGCCACGTCCCCACCAAAAACCATATAGATACGGTGATAAAAACATAAGCGGCCACTCCCCGGTAGGCCCGGCCAAAGATGTGGTAGACGAGCAGCAGGATCATGAGTTCGATCCCTTTGACAAAGTGGCTGCGGGAGTAGAGACGGTAGTTGTCAGCGAAACGGGCGTGGAAGACGACGAAGCCGCGGCCGGTGCCTCTGTAGCGGGCCCCGCCGTGGAGGATGGTGCGGCCAAAGTAGTGGGTGCGGGTGCCGAGGGAGAAGGTGAAGAAGACGGATGCAAGCTGGAGCTGCATGAGGACAAAGTCGGTGAGGGCGTTGCGGAAGCCGCGCTCGAGGCCGATCTCCATCATCATGGGGAGGGCCATGAGGAGGCCAATCTGGACGAACGACTGGGAAGCCAGTGCCACCTGAAGGGGCTTGTTGTCCCGGATCGCGCGGTTCCGGCTCAGCTCCTCCTCGAGGCCGCTCAGGACGAGGTAAAGGCGGCCGTACAGGAACACGTATACAGTGAGGACCGTAAGCTGAGAGAGGAACATAGAGTTAGTGGTTGATGCAACTTAAGTTAAGGTGGGTGATATAAATTGAGAGTAAATTGCAATTTTAGTCGTGCATGTTTCGCTGTCCTAACTTTTCGTCCTCTTCAAATTGCTTTTTGGATTTTCGTCCCTTGTGTTTGTAGAGAGGTTATAAAAAGGTCCTTTTCGCAACAAAAAAAAAGTCCCTTATTTTTGCAAAAAAGGTTGCAATTTCGTCCCTTATGTGTGCTCGGGAACCTTTTCGTAACCTTTTTGCAAACGTCGGGGAAGAAAAATTAAGATCAATTCGATGAGGACGAAAAGTTAAGGTAGTAAAATATATAGGACTAAAATTGCTATTTACTCTAAATTGAATTCAAAGATACAGGGATCAGTCCAATTATGATTATCTAAAACTAGTAAAAAAGAATCCAAATACAAGGTTTTCAAGTCCCCATGGATCTTGAATTGCTACAAATTCAGAGAATGGATTGAGAAATACCAGAGTACAAAAATAGAAGCCCAACGTGGTGAAAAAACAGGACATCATGCGGAAGAAGTCGAAGCGGTGCCCTAGCCTATAAATGTCACGACTTAGAGTTTGTTCCCCATTGCCGCATGCTATCTTTGCTTCAAAAAGTGAAATTTGATTGAGACCCACATCTCTTCCTTTGCCCACTTGTATGTACTCATGATGGGTGACATTACCTCCACGGAGTGTGGAGTTGAAACCTTCACAAGCAATATGAGCTCACATCACAATGATCACACACAGGATATACATTACGACTAAATAGAGAAAGGGATATTTTTTAAGAATATGGTGCCTGCAAAGATGTCCTCGCTTAAGTTGATGATTCGGGATGCTTTGCTGACACCACCTCTCGTCAGGTGAAACAATCTATCAAACACGTCCGGATGGCCATAATGAAAACGAACCCTGAAATACCAGTGAACAATGTGAACCATAAAGATGATATACACAGGCTTTATCCTAGCCACATAGTTACAAAATATTAATAAGATAGATGTAAGTTCACCAATTTTGAATGACTAGGAAGATGCACGTAGTATTTTTTTTTTTCAAATTATTTTTAGTATTATGTTTATATTTAAAAGTATAATATAATTTTTTTTAATTTAGTTTTTATTTTATTGAATAATGAAATATAGTATTTAATACTATTATCTGAACTCTATGATGAATAAAATTAAAAAAAANNAAAAAAAAAAAAAAAATGGGTTGAAAACCAAAAAATAAAATTAATATTTTTTTTAGTGAAAATGTAAATGCTAAAAAAATTTATAGTCTTTGATTTTGTTATTTAATGATATCTTCATTGTGCTTAAATAATGATCACTATTATTGTCTTCATAATATAGCTTTCTAATGTCATCCTTTTACATCATAGTCTTTGAAAAATAACTCAAATTTGCTATAAATATAATTTATAATGATTAATTTTTATTTGTTGTCTATTGGAAGCTAACAAACTATGTCTAAATAATTTGTTCTCAATTATTTTGATTACTGTGGTTGCAAGTGTAATTATATTTGCAAGTATAATATTTCATAATACTTAGATATATATAGTTATTCCCTAGTCATAATGACATAAGAGATACATAAATATTTGAAAATGTCTTTAGTTCAAGTCGTAATTAACTAATTATTTCAAAAAGAAAATTTACTTGGAAAGCATAAGAATAATAACATCTTTATTGATTAAAGCTACCCATCTATCTATATACCTTTTCCGACATAAATTATTGTTTCATCTCCTAACATTGTCATACATCCATTATCTTCATTCACGAATTTTTTCAAGACTATCCTAAATGTGAATAATTACTAATTCCAGTTTAAATGAATTATGTAATGATGATTCTTTCATATTTTTTTTTTATCTTAACATTATTTTTATATCTTCGTCAACATTTCATCCCTACTTTTGCTTAAAATAATTATCATTAATATTGTCATCAAATATAGTTTTCTAATGTCATCATTTTGCATCATACTCTTTGAAAAATAATTCGAATTTGTTATAACTATAATTTATAATGATCATTTTTTTTATTGTAGACTGGAAGCTAAAACATTATGTTTGAACTCAATTATTTTGATTATAGTGGTTGCAATTAGCCATATTTGCGAGTATAACATTTCATAATACCTAGATATATATAACTTTTCTCTAGTCATAATGACATAAGAGACACATAAATATTTGAAAATGTCTTTAAAGTGATAATTATTTAAAAAAAAATACATGAAAAAGCTTAGAAATAATAACATCTTTACTGATTAAAGATACTCATCTATCTACATATCTTGTCCAACATAAATTATTGTTGCATCTCCTAAAATTGTCATACATGCATTATCTTCGTTCCTAGATTTTCAAGACTATCCTAAATGTGAAGATTTAATGAGTCTAGTTTTAATGAATGATTCATATTTAAAGTAATTTCACTATTTATTTTTATTTAATTAATTTTAAATGTATCTCTTTTCTAATGAGTACACGTATTATAAAATTCAAGATTTAAAATTGAATTTTAGTTATTTTATTTTACTTCTGTAATTAATCTATTTTTGTTTATATTACAATTCAGTAAATGTTATTTTAATTCATGTAACACATTATTATAAAAGACTTTATACTATACATACTATTAAATAGAGGTAAACATAAATCATATTATGCATATTGTTTTAGTGAATAATTTAAACAAATATATATGTTAAGATCATATATTTTTTACTTAACAAATAACTTTTTTCCATAGAAAGTTGACATTTTGTATGTTGAATAATTATATTTGATTCAATCATTTTTAAACATATGCATGTTCACTAAATTGTTCCTGTTTAATTGTTTTAATAGTATAATAAAAAAATTGTATGGTAAACAATATAATATTTAGAAATTAAAGATGATACTTTTAGTGGTGCATTATATAATTCACACTTATGAAATATCATATATTTTATTTAAGAAATCTTAAAATAATTTTTCTCTTACATTTTAAAATGCCTTTAAACTAACCAAATCGAAACCTAACATCATATGTAGATTAATTTAGAATAATATAATTAAGAATAAATTATTATTTAAAATATATTAATTTGTGTAGGTAATGTTTTGTATGTGTAAGAACTTAAAGATATAATTAAGAATTAAAAGTAAAATATAATAATTAAAAGTTGTAACTTCCTAGCATGAATAAGAAAATTACATTAATAACCTTAACACTTATCTTTTTATGAGGATATTCTTGGCAATTCAAAAGTTTCAAGAAACAACTCATATGGGAGTTATAAATATAGATTATAGATATAGATTATAGATTATAGATATAGATATAGATTAGCCAACATAGGGATCAGATCTTTTATTATACTACAGATTCTGTTCATCGCACGTATGAACCACGTATCATGTGCATCGCACGTGCAGTTTACTAGTAGGTATATAGATAGATATAGATTCTGTTCTAATAAGAAAGAGAACTTGGTAAAGCAAAAAATCTTCATTTGGAACACCAGCTTAATTTGGATGAAATCCACAGAAGATTAAATTCAACGAAATATAAATGATCCAACAACTTACTTCAGTGGATCAGCCAGCAGCCTCTGGCCAATAGTCACGAAACTGTTCTCTTGGTTTGACATGAACCATGCAAGTGAAGATACACTAGAAAGAAAAGCAATACGTTAATAACCACGGCAATTTTGAAATCAAGAACTCAAATGTGGAAAATTCTCTTCCTCAGGTCCTTGAGTGGACAAACCTGCCCATAAAAATATGCTCTCTCAGCCCAAGAATAGTTGGTTTCCTTACGCCATGCCTTTTGAGAAACTCTTGCAATAGGTTTCTCATTTTGAAGGCTTCTTCCATATAGTTATCCTAGAAAGAATAATGCATTCAATCATCGACGATAAGAGTTTGGGTACTCCAAATTATCGAAACACCTCAACTATGATACCTGGTTCATATCAATTGTTTGCAAGCCTTCACCGCGTGTAAAGATTATGGCATGGTTTTGATTCTCTGGTTTGCCCTCACCCAATATTGCAGGTCCTGGAAGTTTTATCCGATAAATAACCTGCAAATGATATCTTAGTTATTTGGGAACAAACAATAACAGAATAACAATTATATCATAAAACACGACAAAAGACCAACATGCAATGCCTCGAACAAAAATCAATTATTTAAAAAAAAAAAAAAAAGATGTGTTCTGAGTGAAATAACTAGGAGGTGCGGTAACAACTTATCAATATGAGAGAATGTATAAGAGTGGTGTACTAATGGAATACATATTTTCGGTCTTTCAGCATTTATACCTCACTAATGTATGTTTGGTAGGATGGAATGACATGAGAATTGAATGACATTTTAAATTTTTTGAAACCATGATTAGTATGTTCGAGTTAGGCACTATTCCAATGGCGATCAATAGACCTACGACCATGGGGTTAGCCATTTCCTCGTGCCCCGTGATTTTACTTAGTCCCATGTCTTGGAGAGTTAAACATATTTCAGAAATTAAAAAAAAAAAAGAAGTAAATAACTAAAGATAAATGTCGCGTAAAAATCATAATATAATCAATAAAACCAACCATGCCGTAAGGCTTTTTACCTGGTCCAACTTCTGATCTGGGTCAGATGTATCAACAGATTTTGGCATAGCTTTCACGAGTGCTGAATAGTATACTTTCTCGACCATTTTACCAGATTTATCCCTACCCGTTTCTTCAACCTCATCAACATAAGCTACACGAACAGAGGGGTACCTGCTCGCAAAATAATGAATACAACTCATAATTGAAAGACTTGATAAATTGAAATCAAACGACACATCAACTAATCAAAATATCATTACTTGGTCATGAGTCTCAAAATATCCGCCGCCCGTCGATCACCAGATCTTTTCTGAATTCCATACTGTTGGCATGAGACCACGTAACTGAACTTCATGTCTGCTACAGCTTGACATTGTGTTAGCAACGAGCCTTCATTTTTCACTTGTTCCTCAGTATTCAGTTCAGCAGCCTTGTAGCCTTTCATTAAATCTGTAGCAAGAATTAACTGATGTATATAATTCTACATCTCCGAAGATAGCAAAGGATGTAGAGAGAATTTACTCTTTGAGTACCTTCCTCATTTGCCATATCAAGAAAAGCTTGCAGTTCCAAAGCTTGCCGATAATACATCATGCCTCGCACTGTAGCAGAGTGGGCAGGTCACAAGCATAAATAACTCGTTAAACAATGGATTGAATGTGTGAAAGAATGATTAAAGAAGATAATAACCAGTTTTAGTCAAAGTTTGGCCTCTATATGATGCCCATAAGCGTAGCTCTTCTTCCAATTTCAGGTTTCCTTTTAGATCATCCTCACTGCTGCAACCGACCCGTTCCATAAAATTATCCCATTCATCTGCGTAATTTAAAATCACCACTCATGGCTTGAGCTATTATTAATTCATGTCAGAATGAAACCACAACACCAACAAGTAACTAAATTCAAAATAACAAACCTGGGAATATCTTTTGTAAATAGAACAAGATGGAAACACCGTCTTCATTGGGCTTTTCCAGCAGGTCCATAGAGAAGAGAACCTCTTCATCGTAGTAAGGGGTCAAAATGCTACAAACATAATATATAAAGAAAAAAAACGAACATGAACAAAGCGGCAAATCCAACTCCAAAATATATGAACTTTGATGTAAAGAGGTTTACGAGAAGGAGAGCATGTTGCGGACTTTGGGAGCTACGGGCATGTCCATAAATAAAGAATTCGAAAAGAATGAAATGCGCCTCCTCGCCTCTATATTAGATGGGACATCCATAGCTGATTCCTTCACGGTCAACAGCAGATGAAGCCTCCCAATCTGGTACATAGTAGCCATAATTCAGGACAAATTTAGGAAACTATCTGTGCCTTAGATGCATCTAATCACATTATCTTCGTAAGCTAACATTTTTCCCTTGATATGATAATTCAGCTTAAGATTGTCTTGCCTTCAGTCTAACTGACCTTCCATTTTATAAGTGTTAAATAAAGTGGGACTTAAATTTAACTGACCTTCTCTTGCCAAGCATCTGTTTCTTCAGTAATTGGAAAGCGAAGTGTCCCAAAATACTGATACTGTTGTTCAAGAGGGGTCATCCCCTGATGCATTTCATATGACCCACCATGGCTGGACTCTAGCATACTAAAACAAGAGGGAACAAATACGTAAACTGTCTGCAACATTAAAATGCTACGTGTTACAAGCAATTCTAACATCATTACCTAGGAACACTGTCTTCCATAATGTCTCTGGTCACGACCTCAAGCATGTTAAGCAAGACAATCACCACTTGATCCTTGTCTTCTTTCCTATTTTCTCTCTGCAGAGTATTCATTAATTACTCCCAAGCTGTCAAAAGTATCGTATCTGGTGTAGTGACATTTTTTAGAGAGGCTTACCAGATATTCTATCAGCTGCACAAATTGATCGTAGAGGTTAGGGAGAGCATTCATATTAAACTCTTGTAATAGATCACCTTCCACTATATGATGGTCGGTTTTGGAGAAAATCTCATTTATGACACTAAAATGATCAAACAACAAGAAATTACTGGACAATTTAAATGGTGATAAATTACTTCATTTTTTAATTTTTTTTACTTCTTTTTGGGAGGTAAGACTTACAGCTTCTCACGTTCTCCCAAAACCAGAAAGTTAATGATGTTCTTACAAGAAGCATAGCACTCGCGGATGGCACATTTCATATATATGTCAGCATTCAATCTTTTATTTAGCTCCCTATCTCTCCCGTTGCTATCCTTTGCCATATCAAGAGCTATAGGAAGCTATACAAAAAAGAACCACAGATCATTTGATTGCTCAAAAAAGTTATGAAAAAGGGGTTTAGGGGACACCCACCTTGCTGGCTAATAAAAATGGAGGCCACTGAATAAGGTCAAGTTCGCGGTCAGCTCGATATGGTACGAGTAAAAGGTTCATTTCCCTGTTTGATTTGCCAAAAAATAAAACCAAAAACATAAATAAACCACTTGACAAAATTGAGTATCCTTTTTAAGTTCTATAAGAAAGTAAAGTAATGTGGTCACTTAAGGAAAACGAGTTGTACCTGTTGTTTATTAAATCCTCCTCTCTGAAACTTTCAATTATTTTGTTCCACATCTGAGAAAACCTTGCTGCTTCCTTATCTTTATTAGATCGAATCTGCAAAATGCCATGAATACAAGTTGGCACTGTAAGTCTTTAATATATCCATTAGAAAAAAGAAGAAAGAAAAGAAGATTTTTTACTGAAGCAACAGGTAAAACCAGCATAATTAAAAACCTCAGCAAATTTCCGGGAGAAGGTGGCTTTTAGTCCCTTAGGTTTTTCATCTTTTTCTGCTGGTATCAAGCGGGCATTAAAAGCACCAGGCAGTGAGAGAAAACGGGACCTAAGCATTACCAGTGTTCGAATCTAAGGGCAGTGCAGAAACATGAACTTCATCAGCTAAAAGGGTTAACATTCAAGTTGAATGATATTAATAAAGCAATGGACCAAGTATGAAGTCTGTCTGACGCAGTCATATTTTTCACGCAGAAAATCATACTGTTTTCATAAGCAAGATCCAAATCGTAACAATGAATTTTTATTTCAAAAGAAAATCCAAACTACATGACGTGGTCTCACAATAGTTTTACCTCCATGCAACTAAAGAAATTTCAATGGAGGTGTTGATAAGGTTTTTAAGTTTTAATAATTAGAAAAAAAAAGGTTCACACAGGAACGCAAACTGAAATGTAGAATAGGCTTCAAGGAAATCAGAATCTCAACCTACCTCTCCAAGACGGCGAAATGCTCCATATATACCCCCAAATATTGTGGAGAAAATGGCATACCATATCTGAGTGTCCATGAAGTACACCTGGAACCAATATGTATGACAGATTCTAATATTAAAGAACTCACCAAACATGCAAATCAACACAAGAGTTATACGTGAACTTACGATAATAACAGGAGCCCAGAGAGCAATCACTACTCCAATGTTATTTTTTGCTGAAAATTTCAATGGATTAAGGTTAACAAGAAACCTCACTCGGAGTAGTATTCTCAGAAAATAAATAAACATGACCAATCTAACTACCTCGAGGGAAGAACTCATGCCACTGGTATCTTCTTACAGGAACGGCCATGATTTCTTTTGTTGGACCAACAAGAGGTCTTATCTGCAACCAAGAGGATACATCAAATTCCCTAATGCATCATCAACCAATTTTACACCACAAGCATGTAGCTAAATGAGAACACTTTAACGCAATAGTTTCATGATTCAAACACAAAATGAGTGGAAAAAATACCTCTACATAAAAGCTAAATGCCAACTTTGCTGCCAAGAGGAGAACCCAGAACACTGTATATCTGAAAATGAAACCACGTGATTAAATCTTATTATATAACGTTAATGTAAACGATTTGCTAAAACAAAAAAGCAATTTATACTTGAAAACTGAAAACGAGCTCTCTTGCATCCCCCTTCCGACATAGAGCCGTGGCTGCATGAGAACATCAAAAGGAAAGGACAGATTGAGAATATAAGAATGAAATTATCAAAAATTCAAAATATATAATGGAATAAAATAACATACAGACAACTTCTATATGGAAAAATCATAAAGCAGTCTGTATACCTGCGACCACCACATCATGAGCCTCACAATCCTGTAGTCTGACCTCTCAAGGTTCCTCCGAATGAATGGAAACAGGAATAACAAAGCAGAGAGCATGTTTGGAGATAAGTAGATTAAAACCGCAATGATGAACAAAGAAGGGTGCCCATTACCGGGCCCAAACCATCTCTTAATGGTCTCTGCAAATCCGGAAGGATTTTGCCAACTGTATGCGTAAGTCACGGGCAACACAACCACCCATGCTGCTGCAGACGCAACCTTTAGGATGTATCTGAGCTTCACATGCAGAGACATACTCATTCTTGCTTTCCAACTCATGATGATATCGAGAACAGCTGCCAAAAATCACAGAACAAATAGCATGTCTGAAAATTTCATCATTCGAAATTTTACTGACAAAAACACCTGAACACTTGTTACTAATCACTATCAAAAAATAAATAAATAAATAAATAAAAAGGGTCGAGATTACAACTAAAACATCAAAAGATTAGCTATTTTTGAATTACCTTGTGCAAGTTTCAGTATTGCTGCTGTGATGAAGATACTCAATACTTTCCTGAAAACGTCTCCCTCAAATATAGCACTTATATCACCAGACCCATTCCAAGAGATTATGATCATTGCCTTTGAAATTGACATGCAGAATTATGTCAGAGAAGGTTACTTTAAGATGAAGAGAAGAATATATGCACATATCGTCAACATTACCTGTAGTGCCAAAATAAAGAAGCTCCACATCCTATCAAAACTCCTAAATATGTGCCAAAATGAACGTATCTCAACAAAGTTGATTTTTCCAATCCATCGATCTCCTCTAACAGATTCACCGCCCTGAGTAATAAAGATTACCATCAGGCAGATGCAACTAAGTTACATCATTAAGTAAGGGGGACAAAATTGAGAAGAAAGATCAACAAGTAACGCTTATCCATGCACAGCCAAGAAGACTAAAAACAAAGGTTGTAACCCAGAAATTAACACATCATCACAAAAGGTTCAGCAATTTTAACACAACTTCATCAGTTTGAACGCAAGGGCTCATAGTTTTGTCACATAGATTCATCATATTGTAAAATAAAAGTTCATTTTAGCCTATCCCTTTGTACCAATCATCATCATCATCAGAAAATTGGGCAAAGAAAGCATGGTTCTTTTATACTCCTCTATCTTGTGTTCGAGTACAATAATATTTATATCAGGAAAACTCGGAACCAGCCTCAGTTTACATATTAAATCAGCATGAAAGTGGAAGAAGCTCAAGAAGAAACTATTAACCAAAATTAGGTCATAGTTACATGTCTGTATTTCCTATTCAATAAACAGCCATGTGACTAAAGGAAGGGTGCTCATGCAGACTTGCAGAGTGAACACATAATTATAACTTAAGATAGTGTTTACCTCACTTCTCTGTGCATGGGTCTGTTCCATGGGAAGGCAGAAGAAATCAGCATCATTACGCATTGGCCAACCCAATCTGAAACAATTAAGTGACCTACAATTTGATCACAATATAAGTGACATGCTATATCATACTTACGAAAACTATAAAGGAAACATTATACCAGAAGTATTCATTCAGATCATCATAGTTTCTCCACTGAGAATGTTTTGATCTCCCACCTTTGCTACGGCTAGCTTCCTGGGGCATTAAAATATGTCAAAGATATGCAAAGGTAAGAGGCATGGCCTGAATGATAACATTGGTATCCCAAGAACCAAGCTAGGAGAAGTACCACAGCTATGATGTTATAAATTGGAGTTACAACTTTCCTCAAAAAGGCCTCTTCATCGCCGCCATAGGCAGGTTTGACATTCTCGCCTGTCATGGGACTAACACTTCCAGCAAGCATGCCGTATAGTTCAAATGCCATCTAAAAAAATTTACAAGCAAAGACAGTTAGTAGGTATTTAAGAAGCAATAAAGAATACTATCTCATGCTCATAGTGGAGCGGGGGAGGAGTTGGTAATATTTATTTTCTAAAAAATTCAACTTTAAGCTTGGAGACTGCATTTGCACAGGTAGATTGACTAAAAGATTACGATTGTAAAGAACAAAAATATGAAACTGCAGAAAAAGCACTGGTAACTTTCCATTCTCAGTTATGATCACATGGGAATCTGCACGCTTTCATTCGCAGACATTGAATATCAAATGGGAGCAATATACTAATGTCTGTGGCCAGCTATAACTTCACAAGATCGAAATGTCCTTCCCCAGCATCATACAGTAGTGAATTACAAGTGTGAAAGATAATAAGTAACAAGTAGGGCCTAGTATGTCAGGTTATCACATTTCTAGACAAAGAAAATCACATAAAAAATCATATGCCAGCATGATGCTCTTATGGAGGGAAAAAAGCTAGAGGAGAGATACCTAACTTGTCAAATTAGGCGGGTAGTGGAGAAGCACAAGCATTCAAATTTTGAACCAGATTAAAAGATTATGTAAGCAAATTTGTGAGGAAAACAAAAATAAGAATATACATGATGATAAATGTAGCACAGGCATTCTGGCATAAATCTCAAGTTAGCAGCTTCCCCCCAAATAAGAAGATATAGACCCATGTATAATAACTTCCGCTGCTGGACTTCCTGCTGGATAGTTGGCAACCTGTAAAAAATATATTCAAGAGCAAAAAACATTTGAAGATGATGTAAGCGCATATACTAGAAGTAGAAAATTTCCATTCAATTCGAAAATAATTGATAGGATAAAAAATATGCATATTTTATATGAGTCAAAATAGAGGTGAACGAGCTACTTAGCTCGGGCAAACACATGGCAACCACCGAAAGAAGAAAGTAGAACAGTGTCAACACGATAATGTCAAACACAATAGTGTCAACGCAGGTAGATATGAACACGGTCAGGGCAGCAAGTGGGGCAGATCTTGAGCAGCCCGGGAACGGGCACTCAAGATCGGGCCGATCTTGGGGAACAAGGTAATGATTCTATATAAGGGGGCATATAAGGGGTGAGGTATGACTATCATAACTTCCTTTGTCACCGAACATTTTAAGCTATTATTATCCATATATCACCCTCTCCACCAATACTGACTTGAGCATCGGAGGTTTTGGGTCAGGAAACCTCCCGACGCTGTTTACCAGGTAAATCGAAGCAATTCAAGGACAGTTCAGACGACGCTGGACCGGATCGAAGTTGTTGTGCACACTTGGCAATAAGATTTGTGCCTCTATTTGAGGCTACCTCCGAAGCCGCCATAAACCACTTGATTAATGGGAGTAATATGTCAAGTCGACAATAATAAAAACAAAAAGAAAAATGTTGAGAGGCAACCCAATTGTGCATGTGGTTCGGCCTAGACCTAATAAAGCTGAACTCTTTCCTTGTACCTTTATTATGCTTGTCATTTGTATGTGCACTCTATATTTGGATATATTGGCTGGACAGAACTATATTTATTGAGTTGTGAGCTGTTGAGTTAGGTAGTTAAGTTGTGCCATAGATTGTTATATACTCTCTGAATTTTTTATTTTTTACCAAGTGTAGATCTATTTGTATGTGGAATCTGTAAGTAGAATTTTGCGATAACACGAGGGTCGATTTGGATTTATTATGCAAGTTTAAATAATGCGAATCAATTATGTCCAGTTAAATTTCTTGCTCATCTAGGATGATGTTAATATTTTTGGTGAGTTGATTTTGAATCGGTTTGTATAGTTGATGTGCATGAGAATGTCAATGTTTAATATGTTTGGTACTTGATAATGAAGTCGGTGTTTAGTGTCTCATAGTCGAAATAGAAAAATGGGAATGAAGGAATGATCAGCGTTGATTCTAATATTCATTTTGGCAGTGCCGAAAATAATAAAAGGACTGAAAAATGGGAGTTACGGATTCCTGCCAGCATGTGGCGCTCTACTTCATAAATGAAACAGCTAATGTGATATGTTTGTGCCAAGAGAAACCAAAAAAAAAAATAAAAAAAAAAAAACCTAAAACCCACTATTTGTGCGGGACTGTCATTCCCTACTTCGCAAATATATATAACATATGTTCGTGCATGTGTGTGTGTGTGTGTGTGTGTATTTGGATTCTGGCTAGCAATAGAAGAGAACTAGACTAGTTAACAAAGAAATGAGCGCCATTAGTTGCATTAATCGATATTGTTATACAGATTGGCAACTATGGTGGTAACTTGAATTTACTTAATGTGCTTGAATTCATGGAATGGCTTTATCTTGACTCTAGATTAATTAAATTGAGTCGTTTGAGCATGTACGCATGTGAGAACTTGTGGGGTCCAGATTAGAAACTCCACATATTTGTTTTCTATCTGTCCATGTTCTCGTAGTTCTAAATTGCTTTGGGACAAGCAACGGTTAACATATATATAAGTTACAAAAATTAATTATGGTAATAAAACTTTAAAAATAAAAAATAAAATCTAAGAACTTTGAACAAGGAAAAAGTCCCTCACCATAAACTACTCCTGCGTCCAAGATATTTGCACCACTTCTTGTAGTTCTTGAAAAGCTTTTTCATTACTTCTGTAAGTGCTCGGTCATCCAACTAGATGAAAGCAACAGAAGACAGCAGCTCTTTAAAACAATCGAAATTGACCGTGTGAGTTGCTCAATTGGTTGAATGTAGAATACCTTGGGCTGCTGATCAGGCTTTGGTTGCCTGATGTGCACATTGGCCAGCAACAAAATAAGGTGCTCCCTCTGGTTTGCAACGTTATCTTTCTGCACTCAATTAAATGTAGCAATTCTAGATATGATTAGCCACATATACAATACGTTGTCATCCTTCCTATTTTTATAGATTAATAATAGTGATACTCAGAAATCAGTATATAATGTTCTTGTACAGGGTGCTTTATATGTAGACTATCTTCAAAATCACATTTGTGCACATCGAAATGAATAAAGTATAAATATGTCAACTATATCCTAGACAATCTCATGTGAAACTTAAGAATAGAAATAAGTCAAATATTAATTGGACTGTGAAGCTGAGTCCCGGGGGGTTGGGGGTGAGGGGGGTGGACTTGCCAACACCATCACTTTATAACATCTTTTTTATTCCTATCAAAGCATGTACTTGTTGTGTAGTGTAAACAGTTCTAGAGAGATATGTTTGTTATATAATCCATCTGAAATTGATTTACTAGTTTCAATGATAAGAAACTCGATATATTGGCAACATATAGACCGGGTTCGTGTTAGTATCTGCCTCATCACTTTTGACAACATTATCTTATAGATACGAGTATTAGTACTGGCAAGTGAATAACATTAGCACAGGCAAAGGCCTCTTTGAACCTGAAAGCCAAACATGGACTGAAGCCAGTCCAAAATGTCTTCGTCCACTTTCTTCTTGTGTCCTTTTGGCCAAGGAAGACCTCTTGTGTTACGAAGTGCAGCAACAGAAGCTTGAATCTACCAACAAGAAAGTGACCAAACGCATTAGATGAAATTCAGTGGTTCCAATTGACAAGATATGAATTGCAATTGACCTCCGGATATCTCATGATTGCTTGATGTGAGCTTTCTGGGTCAAGCGGAAGTATATTATAAGGCACGTATATCTGAGTCTTTTCTGCGACCTTGGTGTGTTTTTCTAAAATCTGAATGGAGATTAGAATAGATTTTTAAGGATTACCGCTCAGATTAAATAATTAACAGCCATCTCAAGAATACAACTAGCAAAAGGACATCAGGGCACACACGAGCATAGCTTAGTATTTAGCACTGCAAATAAGTGCTGGGAGCATTACCTCATCATCCACCTCTATAGCTTCTGTTAAATTAACTGCCTTTAAGACCTCAAACAGCACAGCAGCCGTTTGATAAGCTTTTGTAAGTCGAGCACTGGATAAGAAACAAAGATAACTCCAAATTTGAATATATTTACACACACATAAACTATCGAAAATGCTAGTAATAATGCCCAGATAATTACCGGTCTGCTTTATCAGCAGCATTTTGCAAAGCCTCAATATACTTTCTGTAGTAGTGCTGATAAAAACTCTTCATTTCCCGTGCATCACTTCCTTTTCTTGTTGCCACTGTCGTCTCATTTTCCTTCCAAAGAATATTTCAAAATTAAAATTTTGTCTTAAACTGTTTTCACCCGTGAAAAATATTGCTGGGTAAAGAATTGACCAGTAGCAATAACTCAGCATCGAGTCAATAATACACTTTGCTTATTAGCTCATCATATGCATTAATGTAAGAAACTAGAATCAAAAACCTTTATGCCATATATCATATAGTATCCTGAGGAACAAAAACAGATACATCTTATCTTGAAAATTCAATCACTCAGACATATGATTTCGGAAGGTGCAAAAACTGATATTTTTGTCTTCCCCAAAAAACATACCTTCAACTATAAGTTTTGTACCTAGTCAGTCAAAGTGACTTGCTCTGTTAGTAGACAGACACTTCGTCAATCGTAATGCGTAGAAAAATTTCACATGGATCAAGTTAATTAACAATAGAGCTTCTACCCTTTCCAAGAAACAAAAACTTGTTCAAAATGCCACTCATGAACTGCTGTATTTCGGTATTTTTTATATCATAGATATTAAATGTGATACTAAGAGAACAAAATAAGTAGGGCTGAGCATGGGACTCGGAGAATTCCGAACCATTCCGAAAACCGAACAAAAATCCCTCCAAAGCGAAACCGTTGACCATTTGACTTTCTCCGAACCGAACCGAAAAAATAATTGGTACGGTTCTGGAGATTTCATAAATATTCGTACCGAGAACTGAACCGAACCGTCTCATACCATACTGAACCAAGAACCGAATTATAAAAATACACGTGTGTTATTAATATATTTTATGTCAAGTTTACCAAGAACCAAATCAAATGCATCAAGGATGGGTCGGATCGGCCACTGGTGAAGGATGGGGAGATCAAGGACAGATGGCGAAAGTACTTCGACAAATTGTTTAATGGGGAGAGTGAGGGTCCTACCCTGGAGTTGGTTGACTCATTTGAGGATACCAATAGATGCTTGGTGAAGAGAATCCGAGAGACAGAGATCGGAGATGCTATGAAGAGGATGAAGGGAGGCAAAGCAATGGGCCCTGATGGTATCCCCATTGAGGTGTGGCGATGTTTGGGCGCCAGAGCATTAGTATGGCTAACTAAACTTTTTAACCTCATCTTCCGGTCAAACAAGATGCCTGATGAATGGAGGAGAAGTACTTTAGTACGATCTTCAAGAACAAGGGTGATGTTCAAAGCTGTAGTAACTACCGTGGGATTAAGTTGATGAGCCATACGATGAAGTTCTGGGAGAGGGTTATCGAGCATCGCCTACGACGAGTGACGAGTGTGACCCAAAACCAATTTGGGTTTATGCCTGGAAGGTCAACCATGGAGGCAATTTTCCTAATACGATAGTTGATGGAGAGATATAAGGACCAAAAGAAGGACTTACACATGGTCTTTATCGACCTTGATAAGGCTTATGACAGAGTACCGAGGAATGTCATGTGGTGGGTCTTAGAAAAGCACAAAGTCCCATCTAAGTACATTACCCTCATCAAGGATATGTACAAGGATGCGATGACGTGTGTCCGAACATGTGGGGGCGATACCAGCGACTTCCCAATTAAAATAGGACTACACCAGCGGTCAGCATTGAGCCCTTATTTATTTGCCTTGGTGATGGATGAGGCCACAAGAGACATACAAAAGGTGATATCCCTTGGTGTATGCTCTTTGCTGATGATGTGGTGCTAGTTGACGAGAGTAGGGCAGGGGTAAATAGGAAGTTAGAGCTGTGGAAGGACACGTTAGAGTCGAAAGGACTTAGTAGGACGAAGACCGAGTACATGCGTGCGCTTTCAGCATGGCTACTCATGATGATGGTGACGTTAGCCTTGACAGGCAAGTGGTGGCCAAGAAGGAGACTTTCTGGTACTTAGGATCGATGCTACAAAAGAAAGGCGACATTGATGAAGATGTTAGGCATAGAATTGCAGTGGGTTGGTTGAAATGGCGTCAAGCTTCGGGCGTTCTCTGTGATAAGAGGGTGCCACAAAGGCTAAAAGGTCAGCGATGCTATACGGTGCTGAATGTTGGCCTACAAAAAGACAACATGTCCAACAACTAAGTGTAGCAGAGATGCGGATGTTGCGTTGGTTTTGCGGGCACACAAGAAGAGATAGAATTTGAAATGAGGATATTCGAGATAAGGTCGGGGTGGCTCCAATCGAGGAGAAATTGGTTCAACATGGGCTGAGGTGGTTCGGACATGTCCAACGGAGACCTCCTGATGCACCGGTGCATAGGGGAGTTCTACAGCAGGCCGATATTGTTAAGAGATGTAGAAGTCGGCCTAAACTCACTTAGGAAGAGTCGGTTCAGAGAGACCTTAAAAATTGGAATATCTCCAAGGAGCGGTGGATAGGAGCGCTTGGAGGCTAGCGATCAACGTGCCGGAACCGTGCCTTTCGCTCCTTTCTCTTTGGCTCCAATCTCTTCCTTTTGTTTTGAGTTTTGTTTTTGTTTTGTTTTGTTTTGTTTTGAGCTTTTTTTTTATTTTTATTTTTAATTTTTACCACTGTTTCTATTGGGTTTCATCTCTAGCCTACCCCAACTTGTTTCGGACTAAAAGGCTTTGTTGTTGTTGTTGTTGTTTGACCCTATATCATTTGAGAATTTTGAAAATGCAAATAAATTATAATAATAACAATTAAGCTTTACTTAGTATAAATCAGTAATACTTGATCTACAATGGAAATTTTTCTTGTTTTAAAATAAAATATTTAAAATGGAATGAAAGGTTAAAGAAGTATTTTTTTAAAAAAATATTTAAACTTTACTTAAAGAAATATTATTTTAATAATAAACGATGTTATATTTTGTTTGAATTTTAAATTTTCAATGTTAGTTGCACAAATTTAGTTTTTAACTAAAATTTAGAGTTACTTATAAAGTTGATTGGAAAATAAAATCTTTAGTATGATGAAGTATTAATGAATGTCGGGTCTAAAGAAAAAAAAAACATATAAAAACTAATATATAACTAGGTGGTCATTCAAAAAAATTTAAAAAAATAATTAAAAATCTCCGAATATCCGAACTGATCCAAACGAACCGAAAAATCAGTCTGATAGTCCCGAATACCGAACCGAAAAATAAAAATCTCCGAACCGAACCGAACCGATTCTTTGGTACGGTTTCGGAGATCGAATTTTAAAGATCTCCGAATATTGGTATCTCCAAACTGTACCGACCCATGCTCACTCCTAAAAAGAAGTTTTGATATGATTACACTCGCGCGTTCACATTCACATTCCAATAATGAAAAAACTGAAGATTGGAGAAACAAAAAACAAGTTTAAGCAACACATAATGCATCTCTATTCTCTACAAAGCGGTGACATATGGCATCATGTTCATACTACAATGATATCAACCTTTAATCCAAAATTAGTAATAACAAAAAGTTCAGTTGTAAATTATGATGTACCCTTTCAAGGCGTTGGAGAAGGGCGGTTTTAAACTGACGAACTCCACGTCCACTAGATGTGGGATCCAAACGATGAGCTTTCTCAAAAGCGTAAAACCGACCTGATTACACAAAGACATCAATAATCACCCATGTGCAAAAGATCTTTCAAGTTCAGCATAACATTTTGACTCATTCAAATGGGAGCATGAAATATTCACAATGTTATGCATTTTTGGTGCCTCAATGTCTCAGAAACTGCGGTTAAAGAAAACAGCAGGGAGGAAATCCATGTATGATGAAACTAGAGGCTAGAAGTTGTCAATAAAGAAGAGATAAAAGATGAAAACAGTACAAGATAAAAAGCAATACCAAGTCAGATTTAATACTGTACTGCAACAACTAAATCACATGAGTAAATAATCCAATTTTACACATTTAATTCAATGATAGTGAAAATGACAACAGAAACGAAGGCAGAATCGCAAAGTCTAGCTTGCCCTTCATCTTTTTGCATTTGGAGCTTGGGAATTATTACAACTTTAATGCAAGAACTCCTTTATACCATGCTAAAGCATTTAGAAATTCCAATAGTTTTAGTTCTACTACTTGGTACTTACTACAATCTTGCTTTTGGGAGAAATGTGGCAACTTAACGACAATTGCAGAGCATTAAACAGACCAAAATACACAGAATTAGACCGAAGAGTGGCTGCACAGTCAAAACAGATTGAACAAAAGACATAAAGAAAGTATGTGGGTTTCATTAAACTGATGAAATCAAAAGGAGGAAGAAGAAGAAGAATGAAAGAAAAGCAAATGATTTAAACCACTACAGATTCTGAAAGGAAATTCCAATTTTAATCTCTTGATAAAATATTATGAGAAACTTTTTAAAAAATATCACAACGAAGTGTAAACATCATAGAGTTCAACCAGACACAGAACATAAAATTGGTGCAAATCAGGAAAGCTGAGTATAAACTCCAAATAACATATGAAGACAAGAAAAATCGTCTCCAATTAATGTTTGGAAGTACTGTTCCACACATGAAGAAATAAGTTACACTATGACTTACACAGGTAAGCAACACGAGGATTGATAGGCTCAACCTCATTGGCAACACGAAGAATTGGTGCAATCTCAACCAGAGATGATGGGACCACTTCACTATCCATCATTGACTCCCCTAAATTGCCGGCGGTTTGAGTCCGTAAAATCCGCCTTTGGGGCTGCATTTCGGAGCCCCTTCTCTGATAAGCCATTTTTTTTCCTCAAACCTTCAGGACAAGACCGGACTCACTTTACTTAACCTGTGTAAAACCATCGGAAAGAACTGTCAGGTCAATCACAGGAACACACTGTTGCACAATTGCATAGTACATCTGCACAATTTCACAGCTTTACAACAAAATTTTCTCTGTTTGGTTCTTCATGAGAAAGGAAAATTTGGAGCCAAAACAAACAGCTCAAGATTGAACAAAACAAAGAACAGACAATTAGAAGCAGCACATCCTTTTTCCTCTCACCTTAGCACATAAAAACCCTGTATTTAGAGACCTTTCAGTAACTCCCATTTCAAAGTAGGTCAAATTCTTGAACAAGCTAATCAAATAGAAACCCAATTAAACAACTCCATCACTCACAGCAGATAACAGAGTACTTCACTCTTCGAACTTCACAGCCATCAAGAATTCTAACCAAAATATTATTAAAAAAATCAAGAAATCATTATTCCATGCTTTTCAAACAAGTTTTATTAAAAAGAATGAATCTTTAGTCGAAATTACCATGAAAGTCGGCAAAGTGGATGATGCTAGACAGCATAATTGAAGGTTCTGAGAGCAAAAGATTGAAAGAAAATGAAGTTTCTAGCTTTGTTGATGATTCAGAGGTAGACTGGCTCTTTCAGTGAAAGGAAGAGAAACTTGTAGAATGGCAACGAGTGAATAGTGATCATCTTTTGTGTGTGTGCGTGTGTGTGTGGAAAAGTAAGCTGAGAACATTGATTAGTGGTGGGGTTAGCAGAGTTAAAGGGGTCGTAGGATAAAGAGCCACCTAACTGACACTCTAGAAAAGAAAGCTACGCGGGCAAAAATATAATATATAATATACTACGGTCTCGAAATCATTCCGTCGAGATTTGTAATCGTTTAGATCAACAATATTTAATGGTTACAAATCTCGACGGAATGACTTCGTAACGGGACCTCAGTATTTCCTTATAATATAGTATTATTATTAATTAATTATAATAATAATTAATAATATTAATAATAATAATAATAACTATACTTTTTTTTACCTCCACATTATCCTCCCTGTATATAATTCTCGAATACGCTAAGCTTACGTGGCTGATTTTAGTGTTTCGGATTCTTACTTAGCGAAGAATCATACTTCATAATTAGGTTTAGACAAATAATATTTATATATTAATAATTAATAATCTAGGTTCAGATATTCTATAAATATTATTTAACTAATTTAGGTATTTTAATATCACTTGTACTAATATAACCCTTTAATTCTTTGTAATTTTACATAGTGAGGCATTAAGTGACTAATATATCCCTCACTTTTGATTTGTTTCCTTCAATTAGCTATTGAATTGTAAATGTATTTAAAAGTTGAAAACTTGTTTATTTATTATCGGTTTTACATATATAATATATAAAATTAATCATCTTTTGATGATCTTCGATTTGACATCCATATTGTATATGTGAAATAAATAAATTATATTTATCTTTATAATAATAAAAAAATAATACTATTTATTAAAATTCATTAGAAAAAAAAATATTTCTCAATTGATATATTTATGTTTAATGTAGTTATATGTTGTAAGTTAAAAAAATTATTATAATATAATACAAGTATGTCACACAAATAAAAGTGTCATACTAGATATATAATGATATATATTTTTATAAAAGTATTTAAATTTTCAACTACTTTTTCTCATTAATTTTAGATTTTAAGAACAAAATTAGCAAGCCCCGTGTAATATACGGGCGTTGTACTAGTTCATATATAGTAAAGTTGATATTAGTTCTCTAATTATTTATCTTAGAAGTGAATTATTATGGTAATCAAATTTTGACTAATCACATAGTACTACCTCCTATTCTTTTTAAATATCATTTTGGCATTATCAACTTTAACAAAATATATGTCATTTTGGATATTTTATACATATTTTTCTATTATTACCATCATCTAGCTAATAAACACGATACGTCTTTTCATATTTGCTTCTTATTTTTTCTCAAAACATTCATTTTTATCCTCATTAATAAAAGTTATTATTAACAAAAAAATATTCTTAATAATTGTGCAACTTCTTAAAACGACACTTATTATGAATAGGAGAGAGTATAATATAAGACGATGTAAGTTGGGTAGATTAATCATGCAATAAGTGTGACATTAACCACTTAACAACTAGCTTCGGTTATTCGAACGCTTGACGAGGTTGACATGAAGCTTTAAGGAAAGATGAATAATAATAAACAAAGCAAATAAAAATTTCTTACAGTAGACAGGTGTATATCATTATACTAATTAACAAATGAATTGCTAAATACCACAAGTAAATTACTAATACCGTCCCCTGAAAAGACGATTTTGCCCTTTAGTTTTATTTTTTAAAAAAAAAAAGAGGATGTCTCCCGTCTAATCTATCTATCGGCCAAACCGAGCACCGAAAAATTTCGAAAACACCTCCAAATAATTCCGGCAAAAAAATACTATCCAATAAGACTGGTCATGCGGCGGCCGGCCCGGTCAAACCAGCCGAACTCGAGCCGGTCTTTTAATTTTTATTTTTTATTTTTTGAGTCGGCCGGCAGCTGATTGCGGCCGAAGCTCACGCGGCCGGCAACTGGTTGCGGCCAAAGCTCACGCGGCCGGCTCTTAATAGCAGCCAGAGCTCGCTCCGCCGGCCTTTGATTGCGGCCTCTTCTCGCTAGGCCGGCCGCTGATTGCGGCCGCAGCTCGTGCAGCCGACCTTTAATAGCGGCTAACAACCACTCGGCCGCGCGCGGCCGGTCCTTTTTTTTTTAGTAAAATAAATATTTTCAAAAACATACAAAAATTTATTACTATTAAATATAAGAGAAAATCGATTAATAATTATTAAGACAAATTGCTACAACATATATAGTCATTCATTGTATTTCATTGAACTTTTTCATTCAATGTGGGGATAATTGCAAATTAAAGTTTTCACTCTCCGAGTCTTTTATAGCCACTCTTGGCCTTTATTATTGTGTTTGTAATCGATGTGGGATTGTCCCAAGCCTCTAGCCTTTTATAGTTACTTTTTGCATTCTTTGTTGCTTTCAAAATCAATGTGGGACTGAATGATCCATGCTTTAACACACTTTCACTATGTATGTAAAGATGAATATCACATTATCATTAATTAAACTTATTATTATCTTAAATTGATAAGTGATTAAATTTAACTAAATAAACATGAAATATGAAAAACATTATGGGATTTTACGTAATAAAAGAAAATGCACTTATCATTCTACTTCCATTTTTTTTTCTTTTTGTAAGTGAAATAAGGAAAAAATTAAATATTATAGATATATATATAAGTTACTATTAGTTAGTTTAAATATTTGAATGTTTTAAATTGCCTTAATATTTAATTAACAAAATTTTATATATAAGTTTTATCATATAAAATATTATATATATATATATATATATATATATATATATA